AATTGACATATCTAGGGGGTACAGATTTTAAGGTTCAATAAATGCCCATTTCTCCCCCTCCCCACAAGTCTGAGTCTCCATCATGACTCCCCAGATGGTGCACATTCTCACTCATTATGTATGTATATACCCGCCCCCTCCCCCTCCACACTGCCCAATACCCTATTTACTGTAGTACCTATGTGACCACTAGTGCTGTTCAGTTAATACCAATTTGCTGGGAGTATATTGGTGTTTTTTCCATTCTTGGGAAATCTTCACTTAATAGTATGGGTTCCAGCTCTAACCAGGAAAATATAAGATATGCTATGTCACCATTGTCTTAGAGCTGAATAGTACTCCTGGATATACATATACACTTTATATTAATCCATTTTTGGAATGAGGACAACCTGCCTGTTTCCACAGACTTGCAATTATGAATTGTGCTGCTATAAACATTCAGTGCAGGTGTCTTTTTGTAGAGTGTCACTGGATCTTTTGGGTGAGATGCCAGCAATGGGATGCTGGTCAAATGGTAGATTCGCTTGTATCACTTTAAGGTATCTCCATATTGCATTCACAGAGGTTGAACTATTTGCAGTCCACCAGCATGTAGAGTGTCCTCTCTCTCACAACACGCCAGCTTTATTGGTTTGGAGATTTTTGGTAAAGCCATTCTCACTGGGGTAAGTGATATCTCCATTGTGGTTTTGTTTGCATTTCCCTGATGATTAGGAGATTGAGCTTTTTTGCATATGTTTTGGCAATACTGTTCTGTCCTTCTTTAGAAAGTTTCGTCTAAAGTCCTTGCCCATCTAATGGGTTATTTGATTTTTTCTTCCTGATGTCTGCTGAATTCTAAGTAATTCTAGTTATCAGTCACTTATCGATGCATAGGATGCAAAAATTTTCTCCCATGTGTAGGTTGTCTGTTTACTTTCATACTATTTTGTTGCTCGCAGAAGCTTTGTAGTTTGACTGTCCCATTTATTTACTTTTTTGTTGCTGCCTGTGATTGCCTGTTGGGGATCTTCATAAACTTCTGCCCAGGCCGATGTTCTAGGAGAGTGTTTCCACTTTTCCTCTAGAGTTCTAATATTTCATACCTTAGGTTTTTAAGTTTTTTTCCTTTTTGTTTTATCCAGCATGAGTTGGTTTTTGGTGAGAGGTGAAAGGTTGTCCTGTTTAGCTTCTACAGTGGGTATCCAGTTTTCCAGCACCATTTTTGAAAGGGATTCTTTTCCCCAGCGTAGTTTTTGTTGCTTTGTCAAGATTAAGATGGCTATATGAGATGGTTTTAATCAGGATTCTCACATCTGTTCCATGGTCATTCTATTTTTGTGCCAATAACGCATATTGATTTAATTACTACAGCTTTGTAGTATAGTTTGATATCTGCATATTCATGCCTCCCATATTGTTTTGTTGCTAGAATTGCTCCTTGATATTCAGGGTCTTCTTTGGTTCCATACGAAGCAAAAAATTGTTTTTTCTATAATCTGGTGAAGAATGCTGATGGGTTTTAATAGGTTTGCATTGAATCTGTAGATCAGTTTGGGTGTATAGCATTTTTGATGATATTGAGTCTGCCGATACGAGCATGTATGGATTCCATCTGTTTACTCTCTGCTGATTTCCTTCCTCAGTGTTTGCATAGTTCTCCCTGTAGAGGTCTTTTACGTCCTTGGTTAAGTATATTCCTAGGTACTTTAATTTCTTTGTTGTATTGTGAAGGGAATGAGTCTTTGATTTGGTCTCATTTAGATTGGTCGTTGGGTATATGAATGCCTTCTGATTTCTGTGTATTGATTTGTTCCTGAACTTTACTAAATTCATTGATCAGTTCAGAGTTTCGTTGGTTGGATCTTTGGGGTTTTTAGATACAATATCATATCATCAGCAACAGTGAAAAGTTTGATCTTTCGGCCCCTATTTGGATACCTTGATTCATCCGTATCTGTTGCGTAGCAAGACTTCCAGCACTATGTTGACGAGTGGAGATAGTGGGCTAGCCTTGTCTGTTCCAGTTCTAAGTGGGAATGGATTTAATTTTTCCCCATTCAGGTATGATGGTTGGCTATGGGGTCTGTCATATATGGTTGTATCATTTTTAGGTTATGTCCTCTATGCCTATTTTCTTAAGTGTTCGTATATGAAGGGTGTTGAATGTTTGTCAAAAGTTTTTCTGGCTCTATTGAAGGAATCAGTGGTCTTTTGTTTTTGCTTCTGTTTATGGTGGTGAATTGCATTTATAGAATTTACGTATGGTTGAACATCCCACTCATCCCTGGGATGAAGCCCCTTGGTCGTGGTGGATTATTTTTATTGATAAGTGTCTGGATTCGGTTAGGCTAAGATTTTGTTGAATTTTTGCAATCCGTCATGTTCATTAGGGGATATTGGTCTGTAGTTTCTTTTTGTTGCATCCTTTCCTGGTTGGGTATCGAGTATATTTGCTTCATAAAAGGTGTCGGGGAGGTCCTTCTTCTCGATGTATGTGGAAAAGTTTCTGCAAGATAGGTTACTAGTTCTTCTTTGTAAGTGTGTAAATTCGGGTGTGAAAGCCATCTGGACCGGACTTTCTTTTAGGGAAGGGTTTTAATTGCTGTTTCTATTTCAGTGTTGAGTTGGTCGTTCAGGGAATCTATTTCTTCTGATTGGAGGCCTAGGGAGGCTGTGTGTTTCTAGCAATTTGTCATTTCCTCCACTTTTCCAGTTTGTGTGCATAAAGGTTTTTGTAGTATTCATCAATTGTATCTTGATCTCTTTGGATCAGTTGTGGACCCTTCTCATTTTTATTCTTGATGGGCACCGTTATTAGAGATTTCTCTTTTCTGCTTTTCGTTAGCTTAGCCAATGGTGTGTCAATTGGTTTATTTTTCAAAGAACAACTTTTGTTTTATATCTCCTGTACTCCCTGTTTTCAATTTTCGTTTAGTTCTGATTTGGATCTTGACACTTCTTTCTGGGTTTGTGGTTGGTCTGTGGGGCTGTCTGAGACCCGCAGTCTGGAGCGGGCCTCGCTTCTTTCCACCCTCCCCAACTCCTCAGCTACTCCTGGGTCTCTGCCAGCAGGCCAGACCACAAGCCACCAGGCCTCCCCGGACTGTGATGCCGGCAGGGAAGTTCCCTGCACAGGAATGCCACCTGGGCTGGGCGCACGGCCTCCTCCTGGGAGGAGGGTTGCCCTGTAGGATGCTGATCTGCCCCTGGAGGCACATACACCTCAGTAGGCTGTTCATGTATAACCCTTCTGTGCCCCGGGCAATGCTAGCCCTCGGTGCACGGGATCTGGTCTGCAGGTCCGACCTCTGGGTCCCAGAGTTCAAACTGTATCCCCACCAGGGAGAGGAGTTCCGGTCCCAATTCACCCACAGGGAGCCCAAGCTGGGTCTATGTCTCTCAGCCTCTGAGTCGGCACCGTTCTCCTGGGAACACCGTGCCAGCAGCACCTGGGAGAGCTGGCGGGTAGGGAGCTCACAGTCTGAGTTCCCCTGAGTCAGCTGTAGGGTCCCAAAAGGGAAGGTCCCGTTGCCTGGAGGTGCCTGTGGCTGGTGGCTGTATTGTCACTCTGGGCAGCCGCGGGTAGGGTCGGCGGAGGGTAGGAGGAGGCAATATAGCGCCTGCTGCGCCGCTCGGGTCTGTGCACACGGAGGTGCCCGGAGGAAGTTGGGAACCCGGTGCCACGTCTCCTACAGGCTCACTGCTGGCTGGCGGCGGCCGTCTCTGGGCTGGTGTCCACAGGTCTCTCCACCCGCAGGGGAGCCCACCAGCAGTCCCAGATGCAGGGGAGGGGAAACAGCAAATCCACCTACCCTTGCCGCTGGTCTCCGGGCTGCTCCGGTGGTCTCAGCCTGCAGTTCTCCTCCACAGCCTCCTCCCGTGGAGTCTCCGGGGTCTCAAGTACCCTCCTCGGCCTCGTCCGCTCTAATTCTGTTTCTTGCTTCTTTTTTCTAATTTCTGCTAGAATCTGTCTTTTCTGCAGAGACACTCTGTCTGGCAGTGTTTCTCGTCTGCCATCTTGCTCCACCCCTCCAAATTCCAATAAAATGAATTTTTAAATGCCTGAAAAGAAGCGTTCCCTAACTCAAGCATGTGCTGGACTCCCAGTCTGTGTTTCCAGAAGCCTCAGCTGGGTGACCACGCTGGCCCACATAGGCTTTCTTAGTTCACTGTGGCATCATTTCGGGGAGTCTGGGCACACCGAGAACAGTCCAGCTTTGATCGAGTGCCCATTCTGGGAGAGTGGGCTCAGCTGTCTTCCCCCATCAGAGCCCGCTCTTCCCAAAGTAGGGGGTGGAAGAAAGCTTTGTTGTGGGGGGCACAGCAATAGCCATTCATTCTATCGAAACTTCTACAAAAACTTTGACAGAGTTAAATTCCAGAAGCTCTAAAGTATTGATGACCATGCCCTGACACCAAGCCTCTAATCTATACATTCTCCATATAGTGGATTGCCAAGGCTTTGCCTACTTTAAACTGATCTTAAAAACATCAACGGAATCATACACTTCACGTGCAAGTTGTGTTGCTTTTTCTAATACACATTAAAATTAATGTATAGCACTTCATACTAAGATATTCTCTTTATCATCATTGATTTTTGTACCACATTTTTGGGAAATAATGGAAACAAAGTCCCAGAGGAGAGTCTTCCACTTGTTCTCATCCCAAAGACCCCATCTGCACTTCCCACTGCTGGTTCAATTACTTCTTCTTGGGAGGTCCAAGTCCGCCTTTGCATAGTCACGGAGCAGCGCCTATCTGGGCCCAAGCTGACTGCATCCACGTCTTTGCAACCAGTGTCCCTTGGGAAGCATCTTTGCCATGTCACTATTGCCCTAATCTTTATATTTGAACGGTTTGCATTGTCCCTCCCTAAGGCAGCCTCAGAGTCTGCAGGCCAGACAAAAACTGATTTGAAAGTCAAAGGACTAGGAGCAACAGCATTTGATCATTATTAGGATAAAATGCCTATTGGGCTAGTTTCATTCCCAGCCAAACCCACTGCCAATAATTTCCTTTCCCTGTTCAACCACATTAGACACAGTAAGTCCCCACCATATTAAGCAAAGCTTAGACTACTGTGGGACAGTCCACGTTTCAGTTTCCTTGGCTTGTCTGAGCCAGGGGAGGGGCCCGACGAAGCTTCTGGTGGTAGGTGCAATACAAGGCCTCCTGCAAGCAGGGGCTGGTGCGGTGAGCAGGGCTCTGTGAGATTGTGCAGCCCACGTGGACGCCAGTCTGCCCACTGCCGTCGCTGAACTCCCCAGATGAATCCTTCGCAGGGCTCCGTGTCAGCCAGAGCTGCCTTTCTGCACACTCGGGGTCCCAGTGTCTCTCACACCCGGGGACTAAGAAATGACACTGCCATTTCTCTGCTTTGAAACAGCCTGATCTGGGTATGGAAAACAAATCTTATAAACCCACTGCGTTCTCAAATCATTAGTCTAAAGGCAACCACTAAATTGAAATTCCCTGACATTGCCTTTCAACGTGTTCTCATATATTTAGAAGAGACTTAGGTAGTTTGATCTCATCCAGTGCTGTATTTTTAAAGCAGATTAAGTATGAAACAACTATATGCCAGTTACTATGCTGTAAATAGCAATCATAGCCAAAACGGTCCCTGTTGTGTAGTATTAGTTCATTGTCCTGAAGCCAATATGGCATTTTAACATTGTCTACTTGTTTATGTGTCTACATCACAGAGAGCTGTAAGAACACAAAACCAGGAGACGTGACCCGTGCTTGGGGAATTCTGGTGCATGTGCCTGGAGAGCCCACCCAACAGGGAGCAGGGGGTCACATGCCCCTGGTTTCAGGGGTCAAAGGCCACAAGGGGGAACATATTACCTAAGAGGACCCACCCATAGTGAACCCAGAAATCCACGTATTGAATTAACAAAGGGACAGAAAGAGATGTCACCAGAAAGCAGTAACGGAAGCTGAAGGACATGATGACGTAGAAAGGCTTTCGATGGCCTTGAGAGATGGAGAGAAGTTAGGAGGGAGGGGTGGAACGAAGGTGCGAACATGGCAGCCTTGGTCCTGGTAGCTCCCGACTGCTTGCTTATCGTTATACAACAGCTCCTATCCTTAGGTGCCCATGAATTTCCTTTAGGATTTATACCACCTTTCAGTATCTTATACCCAAAAGAATACTACCTAGAACATAAGTCAGAGAAGTGACATTTGAACGCGATATAAAAGGTAAGTAGTAGTTTGACAGGCAGGGAAGGGGCTGGGCGTTCAGTCTAAGGAAACATCTTGCATGCAAACTTAGAGGCCAAAGAGGTCTCCATCCTCAGGCAGTTCACAAAGTATAACTTGCAGTCACGGGAGGGGCACCTGCGTTGAGATCACTCAGTATTTCACGCAGGTATTTCCTGCCCTGCCGGCTCCAGAAGACGGATGGCAGCAGGCTGGACTTCCAGGCTCCAAGTAGGAACCAGGTGAGGATTGCTCAGTGAGCTCCCCGAGGGGCTGAAAGTCCAAACAAAAATGTGCACACCCATGTCCATAGCATCCCTCCCCACGACAGCAGTGGGGGAAACAACCCTCATGTCGTCAACAGATGAACGGATTAGCAAGCGTGGTGTAACACTATTCAGTATAATACCATTCACCTTGGGAAGGAGCGACGTACCTACACACGCTACCACACAGATGGAACTTGAAAATCTCAGGCAAAGTGAAATAAGCCAGACACAAAGGGTCTCTTATGACTTGACTCCCTTCGATACAATATTCAGCACAGGCAGATCCATAAAGGCAGAAAGAAGGTTAGTGGTTTCCAGGTGCTGGAGTTCAGGACATACTGCCCCAAAGCCTTGACATGTTGCGTGTTCCAAGCTAAAGGAATTTCAGAAAGGCCACGTGCAGGAAGGGTCTTCTAACCTTCCCTGAAACACGCCACGAGAGTCTTGTGTGAGGGTGCCCTGCTATGCCCAGAGGACAGAAACGTCCTTGTCGCTGGAGACACAGGCCACAGAAGAATTTGAACACACAGGCCTTGCCAAGAGTCCCCTGGCTCACTACTATGAGGTCACACCCCTCTTGCCCCATCATATTTCTCCTTGCTCCATTCTTCATCAGACCCAGCATAAAACCCCTCGCGTTTGGCTGTTTCTTCGTGTCTTCATTTCCTTATGAAAGCTACTGCGTCACATAAAACTTATGTTTGCTCTTCTCCTATTAATCTGCTTGTTTGTCGTGGGCCTCCGACTCACCACAAGGGTGGCGGAGGGAAAGGCACACTTCCTCCCCGCCGGGGAGCAGGGAGGGTGAGCCGCTGCCGCTGCGGGCGGGCGTGGGCTCCGCATGGGCGTGGCGACGCCAGAGTTCCCGGGTGGCTGCGGGACATGCCGGTGTACTTAACGCCGCTGAACTACACGCGTTCCAATGGTATGTGTGTTTTGCCACAATAAAAAAATTACAAAAAGATGAAAGTGGCTGAAAGGAGAGCTGGAACTAACCGTGGGTTAGCTGGAAAGCCCGCTGGGGCAGGCAGACAGCGGAGCCACACTGAGGGGACTCGTGCCCAGCCAATCTGTCGGGTAGCGGACACCCTGTTTGCTGCAAGGGCTCATTTTTGCTTAAGAATTTCTGTCGTACTGGGGGTGGGGGCAGGGGGAGCGTCAAAAGACTCAAATTTAGGTACAAAGCTTAGCTGTGCCATTCCTAAGGTACTTGGATCTTTGGCAAATTATTCATACCCTGTGCCTCAGTTTTCTCAGCTGAAAAACAGGATAACTATTACCCACTGAGGGGTGGAGGTGGTGGTTAGAACAGATAATATATCTCAAATGCTTGACATTAACAAAAAATATGATATCTATTGCACTTGAAAACACAAGATGAGTAAAATTTCCAAATCAGTCATAGTCATGACAGGTTGAATACATAAATGAACAATGACTGTATATGTAAATAGACCTTTGACCCACAACTTGCAGCAACCTACCCAGGAAACCAAGCCCTTTATATACAATAACCAGACCAGCAAACCTGCCATAAGCCAGACTTGTAGGAAATCAGACTACTAATCTTCACCAACAATCCAGGAATCCAGGCAATAACCCCTCTACGATTGGCCCAATTTAACCAGGACTTGATTGATAACTGACAGCACTAATATTTTTGTCCCTGCTTCCATCTTAAGACCAACCAGAGAAAGCTAAAGGAGGAAAAAAAATAATCTTCTTCCTCTCCCCATCTTAGTTTCCCCAGCTGGGGCTCTGTAAACTAGGTTGTCAAAAGACAGATGAACAAGAGAGTAACAGAAATTTGTGGACAAGTGTATCGTATCACACATACCTTAGCCTTCACATGGCCATGATATGAGCCCAGGATGTCCAAAGGCCATTGGCATCCTTGTCGAGACCACTCTACGACACGTTGGATGCTGGGAGCACACCTCTACGTAGAACACGTTCTCCCTGTGCCTCTCCTCTCTCCAAAACCAAAAGGCAGCCTTCTAGCTCAAGACCTTTAGTGTCTTCCTGATAGTTCTCTGAAATAAAAATGGGAAGTTAGGAATGCCTTAACCTCGAGCAATTAAAAGAACAGGAGAGGGAAAGTTGTCAGTTTAAACAAAGTTCCAGAAGACTCAGAGGGATGCCTGAGTGCTGATGGAGAGGACAAGATGCCTCTGTGCACTGCAATGTGCGGGAGGAGAAGGGTGGTTGTAAGACAGGTGCCAAAAATGGAAGCGTTGGTTGAAAGCCTGCGTTTGCCCGATCTGTTGGCCTTGGCACCCCACCCCATATGCAGGGCTCAGGAAGCCGATTTTTATGGCCAGGCAAAAGCAAGCAAACAAATAAACAAACAAACAAACCTAAGAAACTAAACATACTTGTTAAAATATGCAACGAGGGGGAAGGGGAGACAAGGGCAATGTATATAACCTTAACGATTGTACCCCCATAATATTCCGAAATAAAAATAAATAAATAAAAATATAAAATATATATATATGCAATGTAGTTAACAGTCTTTTCAGACAACTTGGTTTTTTAAATTTGCAGAGGGGAAGTGCGATATAAGCTGGAATTGAATTTTAAACAAATACATCTTTTTTTAAGGGAATTGCCTTTATGTGCTTTGCTCTATTATCCCCAGCCTGGGCTGAAGCCATTTCTACTTCAAGTTCAGACATGTCCAAGCATACCCAACACAATTTGGGGACTGCTGTCCAAAAATCTATTTTCATAATGCCTGAGAGTCCAGGCAAAACTAAGTTGAAAGGAAAAATGTCAGAGAGGCAGTGTGACCCATGACAAGGACTTCCAGATCAGAAGAGAAAAATCACTGTGCACATAGCAAGCTGTTGTTTGCAGCCCAGCCCTCCAGAGTCATGCCTAGTTTTCAAAGAGAGAGACTAAAATCTCCAAGATCTGTATCACTGAAAGCCCCCAAACTTGTGGAGGAAGTATTGGTGTCACCTGTTTAATAAAGAGAGGGTGTCAGGGAGGAAGAGGAAGATTCTCCCCACTTCAAAACAGTAGCTGCAGCTTCCGGGGGAACACCCAGTGGAGCACTTGGCTGAGGAAGCAGTAGAACCCAGGAAAGAAAAAGTACAGGGGCTGCCCCACCCCTGGGCCTATGGATTCCCTCCCAGGGCCAGGACTTGTTTTCTTCATGAGCACACTCTGGAGATCCCCAGGAATAACTTCAAGTGCTGCAGGTGAGAGCACCACCCAGCACACAGAGGTTATGAATAAACTATTTAATAATAACAATAATCAACTAACCAATCAACATTAAATGTAAAGAACAAAGGAAAAAAATCCATTGTCTAAGTCTAACCTGATAACTCACTTATTTCAAGAAAAATTATCTATAATCAAATTCTCATGCAGCAAGAGAATTTTAATAACACCTTAGAGTTGTGTTCTTTCTTAAGAAATTAATTCCTCTGCTAAGAAAATGTGCAGAATCCAAATCAGTAAATGAGATGACTCTGCTGCAAATAAAAGAAATGTACTTTTGCAAAATGAATATTTGCTATTGATTTGTTAGCAATAAATGATATTATTCACTCATAGCCTTATTCCTCATATTTATTATGTCCTCACAAAATTAGAATCCAGTGTGACAAAGATTTTTTGCATGGCCAAACTTTAGTGAGGCTCCTGAACCTTCTCCTAGAGCCATCTGTATACTTTGTTAGGTCCGCAGCTAACACCTGTTTAATAAAGAGAGGGTGTCAGGGAGGAAGAGGAAGATTCTCCCCACCTCAAGACAGTAGCTGCAGCTTCTGGGGGAACACACAGTGGAGCACTTGGTTGAGGAATGTACACTGTGAGATGAGGATGTACACTAACATCCTCATTGTTAGGTCCGCAGCCCAGAGGTAGACACGAGAAGCTTCATGTGTAGCAAAATGGTGCTTATTTGAGCATCTGGGTGCAGATGAGTGGAAGCCGAAAAGAGAGTCCACCCCAAGGGAGGGCAGGGCCTTGGGTTTTATAGAAAGTTTTTCCAAGGGGAGTGAGAAACTGGGCCAGAACAGCTCCTGTAATAAATTCTTTCCAAACAACTGGGAGGCATAAGCATTGTCCTTATCAGGAGGGATAAGGAAAGTAAGTTCCCCTCTTACATTCCATTCCTTTATCTCCATAGGGGTCTGGCAAAGGCTACATGCCTAATACACCCCTAGGAAGGGGAGAGTGGTGGGTTGTATAGGAGGTTTGGATGGAAGTTTTGGGAAGGGTGAATTCCTTAAGCCTAACACTTGTAAAATCCAGTTTCAGCAAAAGAAGCCTGCTAAGTCAGTTTAACCAGAACGTCCCATTCTACATATCTGATCATTCTCAATATCTGATCAGGCTCCTCATCCTCCATCATCCCCCAGGTGATGTCTGGTCCCCTGCCTGCCTCAACAAGAATCCTGTTAAGTCAGAATTCCCCTTATCCCTGATGTTTCCTTTTAGTAATTTTCCATCAGTGGACCTCCCCCCACCTGCTCCTGGGCTATCAATTCCCACTTGCCTGTGCTGTGTTTGGAGTTGAGCCCAGTCCTTCTCTCCCCTGCGAAGCCACCTTGCAGTGGTCCCTACACCTGTCACGATGGCCCTGAAAAGAGTCTTCCTTATGTCAACTGAAGAATCATGAGGTTCATAAATTTGGAAAGAAGAGCTTTATTTCTTATAAAGTGTTACAGCCTGCAGGCTGGCCATCATGCAGGCCGGGAAGTGTAGTCTTCAGCAGAACCAGAAGCAGGCACTTCAAAGGACAAAAGGGTGACACAGGAATTTATGCTGAACCAGTCTGCTAATAAGTATACATATTCAACAGGTTATAGGAGGAGCTATGAATATTCATGTGTGGGGAGCATGTGCATGCATAGTAAGCAAACATGCATGTTATTAATATATATGTGGTATGTTCTCTTTGGGGTGGAGATCTAACATTTAAATATATTACAGCTTGGCTCTACACCTCAAAAGGTGAAATTGAGGAGACAGAGGCATCTGTGCTGTGCACAGCCTCTGTCAACTGGCCAGAACAAGTCCATTTTCTTATAAGGAAGGAATGCTGGTCAGTTGTGTGGAAACCACAAATATAGGAGGGAGTCCAGCTGAAATAAGAGGTGGAGCAAGGGCTGGTTTTTGTTTAATTTTGTGTGTGTGTGTGTGTGTGTGTGTGTGTGTGTGTGAGAGAGAGAGAGAGAGAGAGAGAGAGAGAGAGAGAGAGAGAGAGAGAGAGACAGGGTCTTACTCTGTTTCCTGGACTAGAGAGCTGTGGTGTCAGCCTAGCTCATGGGCTCACTGCAGCTTCAAACTCCTGGGCTCAAGCAATCCTCCTGCTTCAGCCTCCTAAGTAGCTAAAACTACAGGTGTGTACCACTGTGCCTGGCTAATTTTTCTAATTTTTGTAGAGACAAGAACATGCTTTGTTGCCCAGGCTGGTCTGGAACTCCTGGCCTCAAGCAATCCTCCTGCCTCAGCTTCCTGAAGTGCTAGGATTACAGGTATGAGTCCCTGTGCCCCGCCTCTGTTTAACCCTTAGGAAAGAAAGTCTAAAGGGCTTATCAAGGAGGGGATATAACGAGGCATGTACGTTGTCCCGTCATGGCAGGGAACTCAGTTTTAAGGTTTCCCTGGGGTCCGCTTAGCCAAAAAGGGGTCCGCTCTGTTGCTTGAGGGGCTTAGGATTTTATTTGTATTTTTCACTTACTGTGCTTAAACAAGTGTCCTTACGTCATTTTTTCTGTAACAAGAGTCATGGTGATGAGCAAGCCTCCAGTTCCACACTGCAAAAGCAAGAACTCCATGTCACAAAGTGAACCTAGAGGTCACTGACTCTATTTGTTTTCAATTCCTTCCTTGCATTTTTATAAATAAAAATACTACCCTCATCAGGGCATTGCTGAAAGGAGTCAATGAGCTACTATCAGTACACACTTGAAACAATAAAACAATACCTGAAGCACAGCAGACCTCAATAAATGTCACCAAAACTATTATCGATACAGAAGTCAGAACTGATAAGTATTTTAGGGGCAATCTAGCCCCTTTGTCAACTAGCTGATGAATCTAAATTTCAAAGAACTACTGGAGCCAGAGCCTGGACTTCAAATCAATTTTCCCTTCATGCTTACCTAAGATCTCTGACACAAAGTCTAGGACTAAAGCAGAAAGCAAGAGTTATTTATTCCATGAGCACTGCGCAGAGTGTCTTGAAAGAATCCCTGGACAGCTGGTTTAAAATGCTCCTCTGTTACGAAACAGGACGCAAACAAATCCCTTCACTACATCTATAGTTCTGTTGGGAGCAGTTTCGAGAACCAGAACGCCAGGGCAGTTGTTGGTCTTTAAGTGCTACAGACCTCCACAGGGCTGGACCTACACACGAGTGGTCCGACCTGAGGCACCCCAACTGCCTGCCCCAAGTAACTCCCGGTGCTCTCAGAGCCTGAGAAAAATCTCTTCCTGTGAGTACTGCCGTCTCCTGGGGACCCTGCTTAAAACGCCAAAGCCCCTACCAACACCACTTGCTTTAACCAGAAGCTAATCCAACACTTGTAATTTACTATAAAATAATTACTGTATTCTTTTTGAAAATTAGAGCCAATCTCAAGTTTTCCCAGTATAAACATTGCTCTTACTCACCCCCATTCTGATGTGCTTTCTCTAGCAGGAGTTGAAGGGAAGGTCGCAGCTGACGGAGCGAGGACTGACTGGGAGCGGTGGCACGCTTGGCAATCGTCTGTGGCACGGCTGCGGCCCTAGCTGGCTAAAACTGAGAGTCAACACCTACGATTTTAACAGTTTAGTTCGGGTTTATTTCCCCTGCATGAATCATCGTACTTTTCCTCTCATGAAAATCAATAAAATAGCTCAGAGGAGTCTAGGTCTAAATTCTGAAATGTTTAGGGCGAGTGTTGCCACCTCTGAGGAAGTGGAGTTGCCGGGTGGAAGTTTCCGTTCTCGGTTCTTGGCGTGTTCTTGGCTGAAGAACAATCAGACGCACCGAAGTAAGGGAAGCGCCAGGTGAAGTTTACCGAGTAAAGGAAGATGCGTTCGCCACCGTCACCGGCCGGCCCCCAGTCGCGGTCTGGGGTCCTGCGCCCCGGGTTCCGACGCCACCACCCAGCCACGCCGAGGGCGGTCGGGCTACGAGAGCTGGTCCGGCTGCGCGTGCAGGTCTCCCGGCGCCGCCCGGAAGCCGGGCGCGGACCGCCGCGCGACGTCAGCAAGCGGCGCCGACGAGCTGCTCGGCGCCTTCCAGGCCGCGGTGCCCGCGCGTGCGTGCACTAGGCAGCCCCCGCGTTCTTTCGCATCGGGCCGCAGTTCTGATCGGCAGGTCTGCAGGTGTCCCCTCCTCCCCCAGGTGTGTGGGGGTGCCCGCCTTTGTCCGCAGGAGGGCCAGGGCTCCCTCACTGCCTACCTAGCACAGTGTCTTTCCTTCTTGGCCATGGTAGAATCCCGCCTTTAGGATTGTTATGAGGAATCTAATTAAGGTTTTCAAACTGCTGATGAAGTAGGTGCTCAGTATCTTTTTTTAATAAAAACCTGTCAGGTGAGTAGCACCGTCACACTGCCTCCACCTTTGAGGAAACTGAGGCTCAGAGTGGCTAAGAGAACAAGATCACAGACCAGCCGGCGGTCGAGCCGGGCCCAGCGCTGTAGGTGCCGTGGACTCAAAGCCGGAGGCTCCGGAAGGAAGCCTGGCGAGGCCAGGGCAGCGGCCATGGGCTGGAGAGAGTCCGGCTAACAAAGCCACGGCTAACTACGAGGTTCTGACAATTTACCATCAGACATGATAGAACTTTCTGGAGACAGAAAAGGCGATAACTTAGGTGGGACATGGAGACACTCTCCTGATAATTCGTGTTGAGTTCAAAACGAGGCTTCCCAGTTGTGCTGCCTGGGTTTAGGGAAACAATTTCTAAGGAAAAATAAGGGCTTGGAAAATGCATCACCCAGGGTTTCTTTGATGGCAACTCCCTGCTTCACCCACAAAGGAGCTGCCGTCCCGGGCAGGGCTGCGGGCGCCCGCGGTGCTGAGGGACCCGACAAAGCCCTTCTAAGTGAGGCCTCCACCACCCATCTCTGCCCCGCATGCCCTCAGCTGCCTCTTGTCTTCAATCATCAAAAACACACTGGAAGAAGGGAGCAAAGAAGGTGAGAAATCTACAAATGAAGCCAAAAAGATGTGTGGAAAAGTAAGAAACCAAGCACCAACCCCATCCATAAAGTCCTGTTTGGAGGGTTGAGAGGTGGGCAAGAGTCGCCCCTTTAACTGTTGGTGAACTTGGTTGTTAATTCCAGAATCCTTTTCCTCCTTGGCCAATTTATTTAATTATGTGCTTTTTATTTATTTTTTTCTCAAGTGTACCTTTTAGTGGGTTTAGATGTTTTTAATAATGCTCAGCTCTAATCTTGGCATATGGGCACTTAATAAGGACTTATGGAGGCTTGACAGTTACCAGGACCGTGGGCGTGGCGGGGAGGGGCCCATCCCTAGGGCACCGGCGACCCCACGCTGCAGCCACCGCCTCCCGGAGACCACCGGGCATTGCAGAGTTTTTATTCCCCTTTTCTAAAAGCAACACAAAACATATTACCTGTTGATTTTACAATTATAGAAACAAATTAGACATTTTATAAAAGCAAACGCAGTGTGAATCTTTGGGTCATTTCCATCTATATTGAATCTGGTGTGGCTCATCTTTTAAAAAAAAAAAAGTGATCCTACCGTCTTCCAGATCCTGCTGTAGGGGCAAAATAATAATTCCTGCAGGTTCTTAGTTGGAATGGGCCCCATTACAAAAGACAGATGAAGGAGAGAAAAGCAAACGGAAGTTTATTAACGTGTACATGTTACATACACATGGGTGACACCCAGAATGAGTAGAGTAGTTCTCCAAGAGGTGGCTTTGAATTCCAGCCTATGTAGCACCTTCAACAAAGGACAGTAAAATTTTAGAGAAATGACAAGACAAAGGAAAAGGACTTTGAGTCTCTATGGGCAGCAACTTGAGAAAAGGCAAATGAATGGCAGAGGAGGCTCTTCAGTGAGGCTTCTCGCTGTCGCTGTCTCTGGTACCATCTCCAGGCCGCCAGGTCCAAAGCTATGTTCCACGGTTAACCTTTGTTCTCCCCTTGTCTTTGTGAACCTGTGTCCTGCTTTCAGGCAAACAGGGTGCGTGGAGAGAGGTTTCCTGCAGCTGTGTCTCCATTGTCCTCAGCGCCACCGTCCTTCATGTTCTGGTCCCCTCCGCGGTATTTGCCCACTTTCCTCCTCCACCGACCCCTCGAGAGGATTAAGCTGTATTCTCTGCACTTCCTCACCTCCATTTTTTGCCCTCTCCAGGCTGGCTGCTGTCTCCATGACTCCAAAAATGACTTTTGACAAAGTTGCTGACGATCTCTGTTTGGGCAAATCCCATGAGCAGGTCGCACCCACCGTCCCCTCAGAACCGGTCCTGGCAGTTAATCACTCTTGCCTCCTCATGGCTTCTTTGACCCACGATGTCCTTGTTTTTCCTCCTACCTCTCGGGGTAGTTGGCTCGTCCTCCCTGTGCAATCTCAATACTCCATTTCTACACTCTCTAGACGATTTCATCCATTCCATGGTTAAAATTATCTGTGTGCTGATAATGCCCAAATACGTCTTTCCATTCCAGATAAGTCCTCTGAGATCCAGATCTGACTACTTATTATCATCTCCACTTGGATGCATCACAAAACAAAATGTCTTCTCCCTCCACAAAGCGACATAGTGTCCTGCCATCACCAATCTTATCCATCTCTGGATAGTGATACCACATTCCATCTGTACTGAGCCAAAAACACATCCTTGATTCCTTTTCCTCTCTACCTGCAATAATATCATGTCCACCAGTAAATCCTACAGATTCTACTCCAAAGTGTATCTGAAATCTAATTATATCTACCTCACTGCTCCCCTGGTCCAAGACTGTTCTTCCCATTTCCGTATTTTCCCCAGAGCAAGAAGGATCTTTTTTTTCAATTTTTTTTTTTTGAGACAGAGTCTCGCTTTGTTGCCCAGGCTAGAGTGAGTGTCGTGGTGTCAGCCTAGCTCACAAAAACCTCCAACTCCTTGGCTCAAGCAATCCTGCTACCTCGACCTCCCGAGTAGCTGGGACTACAGGCATGCGCCACCATGCCCGGCTAATTTTTCTATTATATATATATATATATTAGTTGGCCAATTAATTTCTTTCTATTTATAGTAGAGACGGGTCTTGCTCTTGCTCAGGCTGGTTTTGAACTCCTGACCTCGAGCAATCCACCCACCTCAGCCTCCCAGAGTGCTAGGATTACAAGGTGAGCCACCACGCCCAGCCAAGAAGAATCTTAAAAATATAAATCAAAGTAGAATATTCCATCTGCTTAAAACTCTTCAATGGCTTCCAGTCTCAGTTTATTTGGGATGCTATAACAAAATACCTTAGACTGGTAATTTGCAAACAAACGAAAATGTATTGCTCATGGTTCGAAGGCTGGGAAGTCCGACATCAAGATGCAGCAGATACACTGTCTGGTGAGGGCCCAGTACTTACAGACGGCACTTCTTATGTGTCCTCACATGGCAAAAGGAACAAACAAGCTTCCCTGGGCCTTTTTACATAGGGCACTAATTCTATGCATGAGGGCTGCACTCTCACGAACTAATCACCTCCCAAAGGCACCCATCTCTTTTATTTGTTGCAATGGGGATTAGGTTGTCGTGTCAGCATATGAATGGGGATATCAACGTTCATACCATAGCATTTCCCACTACACTTAAAATAAAATTTTGGCCCCTAACAACTGCCCTCCCTTCACCAGGCTTTCCACACACCTCCTCTCCTCGCAGCTGCAGCCCACACCACTCTCCCCCCGCCCTCTAGGCTCAGCCCCTATCTATGCTTGTTGAATTCCTTGATTCCTGACTCTTACCACCCATAGAAATAATGAAGACCAATCAAATGAGAGCAAAGAAAGAGCTATTCAGAGTTTGCTATAGCAAGGGAGTCGCACCAGCACTTGCATTTTGACAGAGACTCAAAGGCAGGCAGGGAAGTGGGCTTCAGGGGTGCGCTGATTGGAGGCTGTTGGCACAGAGAAGCTGTAGGCGGGTTAACTAGAAGTGGGGCCTAGGTGGTTGGTTAGGGGAGCACGTTCAGCTTCTCTCTGGCTTGTTCCTAATTGGAAGCAGGTACAAAACTCAGGAAGTGGTCGCTATCAATCAAGTACTGGCCATTTTGAGCCAATTGTAGGAATATTTGCTTGGCTTCCATGTCATTTGTTCGGAAAGGTGAGTGGTCGACTCCCTACAAGTCCAACTTACAAACAGCAGGCTGCCTCCTGCGCTGCTCACTGGAGACCACGAGCCGGTTTCCTAGCCAGGTTGCTGCAGGCTGTAGATCAGAGTCCTGTTTTTATATCTGGTCTGGCCATAGTCATTGTTTTTCAGTTCCCTCACACTTCAGGGCCTTTTCCTGAGTTGTGTTCTCTGCAAGAAGCTCTCTTCCTTCTTGCTCATGACATCTTCTTATCTTTCAGGTCTTGGCTTAAATGTCATTTTCTCAGAGGCTTTTTCAGACGATCTTATCCAAAGCATGCCCCTTGTTTTGTTCTCCATCTATCCCCATATCGTAGTTTTTTATTGTAGATAATTTGCAAATTTGTGGCTGTTTTATTTATTTGTTATTTTACTTGACATTTTTAATCCATTTTCCTGAT